ACAGTTAGGCTGGGGAGCATTGCTAGATGATGCTGGATGTCCTCCAGCAAGGAAATGAGGCAGGATCTGACTTGCTGCAGCTTCTAATGCACACTTTAGGAAGCTCACAGTGTGCAGTGAAATTAGAGTAAGCAATTTCATCACAGGAGAGATGCCTGTACAACCGTGCATGGGAAATTTAATGAATATTTATGTGTATTGTGATATCTTCCAGGCGTTCAGCTATAAATACAGCTGTATACAGTTATTCTAGGGTCGAGGCTGCTGGCTGCTCTAGTGCTATGCTTTCCTGAAAACCCCAGGTCTGTTGTAGTTTCTGTATTTGTTCTTTATGATTGTATTGCCCTTGATGGCAGTGGTACCATGCTAATGATTATCCCAGCATCCCCCGCTGTTACGGTCTCTTGCATACCATTATTGCAGTGACGCACGCAGTCCTGGAACACTGCGCTCCATCTCTCTTGCTCACGTTCAGTCATCACACAGAAATGGTAATGCCGACAATAAGGGTGCCAAAGAACAATGGGGAACTGAGTGGCACATTTCATCGGGGTGCTGCCAGTCTTCACCTTGCCACCTGGAGGAGGAAATAGAGGATGCAATGTTATTCAAAATACACACCAAGCAATAGTTTACAACTTTAGATAACAACATAGCCTTTAGTCTGAGATAAGAAGAGCCTCATATAGTCTGCCCTGTCTAAAGTAGCTGAAACTATGCTCGATACCCACATTTTCTCACCCTGCAGTTGACTGTCTAGGACAGGGGTGGGCAAACTTTTTGACTTGAGGGCCGCAATGGGTTCATATATTGGACCCGGGGGCTGGACCAAGAGTAGATGAATGATGTGTATGTGTCATCCATAGTAAGTATAGTAATATTCCCCCATAGTAAGCATAGTAATTAATCCCCCATATAGTAATTCATCCCCCATAGTAATTCATCCCCCATAGTAATTCATCCCCCATATAGTAATCCCCCATATAGTAATTCATCCCCATATAGTAATTCATCCCCCCATATTAATTCATCCCCCATAGTACTATTCCCCCCCCCCCCCAAGTAGTAAGCCAAGTCCCCCCTGTGTCAATTCACTTACCTTTGCTCCGCGCGTTCCTCTCGCCATGTTCCCGCGCCGTTCCGGTCTTCAGGGCGGACTGTGAGAGGAGCCTAGCTCCCCTCACATTCGTCACGCTGCCCCGCCTACACACATCCTGACAGCCAATGTATCCCGTGCCGTTCCGGTCTTCAGGGCGGACTGTGAGAGGAGCCTAGCTCCCCTCACGTACGTCACGCTGCCCCGCCTACACACATCCTGACAGCTCCGCGGGCCGGAGTAAAAGGTCCGCCGGGCCGTATACGGCCCGCGGGCCGTAGTTTGCCCATTGCTGGTCTAGGACAATGACATATGACCAGCAATTCAGTAGTCCTGGTCCCCCAGTTGGAGGACTACTGACTGCCCAATGCTGCACTAGGAACCTCAACTCTGCCTCATGAAACACAGCAGAACCCTACTGACACTTGTCCTATTTCAGACACTGGTGTTAGGGGAGATGGGTGTTTAAAAGCATACATACACTACCTCATCTGAAGTAAGAAGAGATTGCAGATAAGATTCATGTCCACCTTTCCTACCTTCCAATTCCCATTACAACAGTTATTACAGACTTAGAGAAGGGATAGGCAACCTTGGCCATCCAGCTGTGATGAAACTGCAAATCCCATGAGGCATTGCAATAATCTGACAGTCACAGACATGATGGAATTTGTAGTTTCACCACAGCTGGAGTGTCGAGGTTGTCTACCCCTGTATTTCTATCTAGAGAAATTTAAGCAACAATGTGGAGAGGTGTAGTCTTTTCCAGATTTGCTGGTTCATAAGGGTTGCATAGAAAACTCAGTGTGGTTTGAGTTTGGACCAATAGGATGGTTATCACCACTGTTCTGGAGAAAATGTATATGACAGGTGGAGAGGAAGAGTGAGCAAGTAAAGGTGAGGTGGCTAGAGAGGAGAGCAGGGAATGAGGAATACGGTGGCTGGAGTCATGGCAAGAAGTACCAAGGCCTGTCACTCACATGTCAAATCTTAAGTAATAGTTAAAAGTCTAATGGGAGGTAGCCCCATGACCTTCTCAAATGTGGACATTGTGTTTGTCAACTTGGCAGTTCTTTTTTTAGAATCATAGTCCACGGTATATTTCCTGGGCGTTGAGAATTGGGATTTCCATGCTTTTGCTATGGTTTGCTTTGTTGTAAAAATAGCCATTACTAATTCAAGTTGTGTATTGGTTATCCCCAATAGTTTTTGTTAAGGAGGACTTCACAATGGTCTTCTGGAAGAGGGTGGTTCAGCAGTATATGTATCCAAAAAGGATGGTTAACACCATTGCTCTGAAGAAATGTGTGCGATGGGTGGAGAGTAAGAGCAAGAAAGAAATGGTGGGTAGAGAAGAGAGGAGGGCAGGGAGTGGAGAATATGGTGATTGGAGAGTCACGGCGAGAAGTGCAGAGACCTGTCACTCACATGTCAAAGATTGAGGTTAAAGTCTAAATGGGAGGTAGGTGTTCACCTGTGAAGACCAGACCCTTGCAAATTTGGACTCCCAACACCAGCACATGAAATACGTTTCGTACCTCAGCTGCAGTAAGAAGAAGCTGCTGAGAAGATTCATGTCCACCCTTCTTACCTTCCAATTCTCATTACAACAGCTGTTGCACACACAATATTAACCACAGTATGACAGGTATTTTAAATATAGACATACAAGCAAGTGAGTATTAAAGAAAAAAGAAAAACAACTTAACTATACTGAGTTTTTAATTGTATCAGGTTTGTTTTATCCCTGCCAAGGGTGCTCAAAGGGGTAACAAGTTCATGGCTGCAATAGGCTTTGCTGTGGTTTGTAGAAGTGATCTGGGAAACTGGGCTTAATATATAGTTTTGCTAAGACTTCCAAAATGTTCTCTTTCTCGGGGAGTCAGTGACAGACTGCCAATGGTGACACATGCAATGACGTCGGGCCAATTGCATTGGAAATGGAGATGATAATCATCCTACACTCCAGCCTGCCAACTAGAACACCTCCACTGAGCCAACCACAGCCAAGACCAGCTCATACTTCTGGCTTGGGCCACAATGTGTCATCAGACCAGGACAGAGCCAACTATAGGGAATTATAGCACACAATTTCCATAGAGAGATAAAGTTGAATCCACCAAGCATTTTAAATGAGTGCAGGATAGAGATTCCATTGCAGGTTGAAAGGGGTCTGTATGAAGTGGGGCCCAAAGCAATTACATATTGGGCCATGAATAATTACACAATACAATTGGATATTTTTCATTTCTGAAAAATTTTCTCAAATATAGCAGAATCTATAAGATAACCTTGTCCTTCAAACTGTGTGAGACAAGTCAGAAATTAACAATAACGAACTTGCAGTAAACATTCTGCACCTGCGTTTTTGCCCAAGCAACTATCTGTCCAATAAATTTTTATTGAGTTTTTCAAAAAGTAACGATGACAGAAAGTCGTTAGAGAAAGAGTACAATACATTTCCAGGTAGTAACCATGTAAAACATTATAAGAAATGCCATTAAAGTTTACTGTGTGATAATAAAGATCTATAGAAGGGGTAGGCAGCCTTGGCCATCCCAGTGGTGGTGAAACTGCAAGTTCCCCTGAGGCATTTGCCAGACTGACAGCCTTCAAGAGGTATGATGGGATTTGCAGCTTCACCAATGCTGGAGTGCCGAGGTTGCCTACCCATTTTGGAGAAATTTAAGCAAGGGACAGGAAGTGTAGTTTTTTTTCTGGATTTACTCATCTATTGGGGTTGTAGAGAAAACTCATGTGTGGTTTGAGTTTGGACCAATAACTCATTGATCACTGTTGTTGATGTTCTAGAAGTGTGTGTCAGATGTAGAGTAAGAGCTAAAAAGCAAGGGTAAGGAGGGTAGAGGAGAGCAGTGAGCGGGGAATATGGCAGCTGAATGGTTATGATGAGACATGCCAGAGGCTAGCTCAATATTGTGTGTATCATTTGGAATGTATCAGTCCTATGGACAATGGTACATGCCCACTGTAAAAATAGTGAAAAGTGCCAAGTTCATTGCAACCTCTAAAGCAGTTCGAGGAGGCTTTTCATATATAGATAGATAACAGCACAAAAGGGAACAAGGTACATAGTGAAAAGCTTACAGGGAGACCGCTAAAACGTAAATTTTCGGTTTGCCAAACTTGAGCCTAATCCCCGTTTCAAGGTCTCTCTAATCTCCTCCACCCATTTTATGGCGTTGGTTGAGTAGTGAAGAAATTGCATGTTTAGAAGTGTGAAGGACAGATATCAAACTCTGAAAGGGCAGACTGTTTAAGCATTCAGATACAAATTTGGAGGTTTTTTTTAATATATAGTTTATAGGGGATAATGTAGAATTTGTAAAAATTGAAATATTTCCTTGTGAACCTCCTGAACAGTGGCACAATGATTTCACTGCTTGCATGACCACAGTGCTGAAGCCTATGGTTCTTAAAAATAAGTGAGCAATGGCAGTTCCCACATTTCTAGCTTCCCAGGTTCACTTTAGGGATAATGCTACGAGCCCCAGCATTTGCGCCTTCAAAACCAAGTTGGCAATGACCCTTGCAATACTTCTCCCCCAAGTTCAGTCCATCCAAGACTGATAATTTAGCTATAAGTAGATGTGGAGAGCTGAATCAAGCCACTGTCTCCTTTCCATACTGGAGTTCTCAACTATTCTGCCTTCTGCCATAGTATCTTATGCAACCTAGTGCAGCAACTTTAAGTGAATGAAGAATCCAGTCGATAATGAGACCTCGTTTATTACAGGTACAGCGCATGGGAGGAGCTAGGAAGTCAGATCTAGAGAAGTGATAGCCACAATATAAGTGGCTGAGTGGTTCAACATGTTGACAGTCATCAAAAATCGAAACTTCAGTTTACAATATACTAACAGAATGGACTAGGCAGGTACTTACAACAAAAATCAAACCAGTCAGCTATGGTGAACATACCTGGAACCATGTTATTAAGTAACTCAGTGTACTGATCCAGGGAGGTTAATACTCTGTACCCAGCACAGTTGATGCCAGCTCGGGGCTGTAGGCCACGATCATAAGCCTAAAAAAAAAAAAAAAAAAAGGCAAAGCAGGAGTCAGAATTTCACTGGGCAACTCTTGTCATGGAAGACTTTACAGAACATTTCATAGCACTTACTATTTTGTTCTCATAAAGCACTGGGCCATAGTGATGAGGAACCACACAGAAGCGGTTCCTCCATTTTTTGGTTTCATCCACATACTGGAACAGGTTTCCAGAAAAGATCACACGGTCTTTGAGAGGCGTCTAAGAGAAAACAAGAAAAGAAGAATTTTGTAGTGTCCATATTTTGTGGCCATTTTCCCTTTATAACCCCTGCACCCCCTCCTAACACCTTAGAAATACTAAACATTAAGCTCCCCTCTACATCCAAAGATCAGTAAAATGCTGGAGTATTTTATAGAAAAGCATGCCCGTCTTGACACGTGGCCCCAATTCTCCATCTTAGAATTGTCATTGCTCTTCCAAAAGGGACACGTTACGCAATTACAGTACATAGGTTGGAAAAAAAAATAAAAAATAAAATCTAGTTCAATCAGTAGAAAAAAAAATAATTAGAATGGATAAAAAGAAAGCCTCCATAAACAGAATCCTAAACCGACAGTTGGTCCAGAGGAAGACAAAAAAAAAAAAAAACACAAACTATAAAGCTTGCTCTAATTTGCTCCAGCAGGGGAAAATAAATTCCTTCCTGATCCTCCAAAAGGTAATCAGATATTTCTTGCATCGATCTCAGTGCTGTTTCTCCAAATATGACATTCTTAGCCCATGCCACCCTCATTTTATGCCACCACTGGGATCTCAGTCCAGCTTAAATATTATTTACATCCATGCACTTGCCAACACTGAGCCTCACAACTGAAAATAGCTGAATGGGAACTGTACTGAGGAACCTCTGTTGACCACTACTTTTAAGCCTCGTTCACACCATACTTGCAGGAAAACCGGTGGCAATTAACATGCAGATTTCACTTGCAGAGACATCAGTTTACATTAGTTTTCATGCGCGCCACAACGAGTATTATACACTTTTGCAGAAAAAGTCTGCACTTGATACTAGTGTTGTGTGTGTGAACAGGGCACATAGAGAACAATTGAACGTGTTCAGAAAAACTGATGGTTCTGCACCATGGTGTGAATGAGCCCTTAAAAACGTTAGTTCCCTGACTGCTTAGCCAAGATAAGACAAAAGGAAAGAATGGCACCTGTGTCAAGCAGTGTGCTTGGGCTCAACTGGAACAGGAACTTCTGCATCACTTGGCCATATCCTACACAATGTGCAGGTCCCAGCTGTCAAACTGACATCTCAGTCCTGTGTTTTATACTAGAAGAGCAGCTCTCTGGTTGCACACCATACTTATTTTTATTAAACCTTATTTTTTATTAATGCCTTTTTTATTAATGCCTTTTTTATTAATGCCTTTTTTCTCTAGCCATTTTTTAGTTTATATGTAAGAACTTTAAATCTATGTTTGTTCATTTTTGTAATACTGTTATATTGTAATATTGTTAAAATATTGCTTTGTATCAGAAACATAATTCTAGTGTCTATAAAAAAAAAAAAAAAAAAAAAATCACAGAATAAAATATGCACTTTTAATATAAACTAGTACCCGGATGGAGGAACACATTTCGGTTACAATAATAGTGTTAACATTCCTATTCACTTGAGGTCATGACCAGGCCATTTTTTGCTATACGGCGCTGTGCTACTTTAACTGACAATTGTGCAGTCATGTAACACTGTACACAAATGAATTTTTTTTTCACACAAAATTGAGCTTTTTTATTTTGTGGTACTTGATCACCACTAGGTTTTTTATATTTTTTGCGCTAAAAAAACAAACAAAAAAAAGACCAAAAACGTAAAAAAAAAAAAAAAACAAATTCTTTTTTTTTTGCTATAAAACATAACCCATTAACAAAAAAATCTTCATAAAATTTAGGCCAAAATGCATTCTGCTACATGTCCTTGGTAAAAAGAAATCCCAATAAATGTATATTAATTGGTTTTCATGAAAATGAGTTTCTAAAATGACGGTATATACACTGGAATTTTTTTTTTAATACTAGTAATGTCCCCCTTTGTAATGTACAGCGCTGAGCAAACTATTGGCGCTTTATAAATACTGTATAATAATACTAATAGTAATGGCGACGATCAGTGACTAATAGTGGTACTGTGATAGTACGGTGAGCATTCTGACACTAACTGCCACTGGCGTGACCAGTGACAGTACAGTGATCAGTGTTAATAAAATGCACTGACATTGTACTAATGACACTGGACAGGAAGGAGTTAACTTCTGGGGCAATCAAAGGGTTAACTGTATGCCTATGTGTAATGTGTCGACTGTGTGCTGTTTTAGTAGAAGATGTAACCGTTTTTGTCTCTCTGCAAAGCAGGGAGACAAAAACTGCCACATCCCAGCTGTCAAAGAGATCTGTGTTGGTTACCAAGACAGATCTCTCTCCTGGAGCTAGCTCTGACGATCGATGGGTCCCGGCTGTGAAACACTGGCTCGGACCCACTGATCGGCATGGCAGGGAGCCATATGGCAGCACAGGTAGGTGGGTGCATGCCCCCTACCTGGAAAAGGAAAAGTGTGTGTGTGTGTGTGTGTGTGTGTGTGTGTGTGTGTGTGTGTGTGTGTGTGTGTGTGTGTGTGTGTGGTGTGTGTGTTTGTGTGTGTGTACACTTCCTTGAAAAAATATTCATGCCTCTTGAAATTTTCCACATTTTGTATTTTACGACCAACACAAAGTGGCACATAATTGTGAAGTGGAAAGAAAATGATAAATGATTTTCAAAATGTTTTACAAAGATCTGAAAAGTGTGGGGTGCATTTGTATTCAGCCCCCTTTACTCTGATACCCCTAACTAAAATCTAGTGGAATCAATTGCCTTTAGACGTTGCCTAATTACTAAATAGAGTCCACCTGTGTGTAATTTAATCTCAGTATAAATACAGCTGTTCTGTGAAGCCCTCAGAGGTTTATTAGGGAACATTAGTGAACAAACCGTATCATGAAAGTCAAGGAACACACCAGACAGGTCAGGGATAAAGTTGTGGAAAAGTTTAAAGCAGGGTTAGGTTATAAAAATTTATCCCAAGCTTTGAACATCTCACAGAGCACTGTTCAATCCATCATCCGAAAATGGAAGTATGTCACAACCGCAAACATGGCTGTCCACCTAAACTGACAGGCCTGGCAAGGAGGGCATTCATCAGAGAAGCAGCCAAGAGGCCCATGGTAACTCTGGAGGAGCTGCAGAGATTCATAGCTCAGGTGGAAGAATCTGTTTACAGGACAACTATTAGTCATGCACACCAAAAATCTGGCCTTCATGGAAGAGTGGCAAGAACTAAGCCATTGTGGAAAGAAAGCCATAAGAAGTCCCATTTGCAAGAAGCCATGTGGGGGACACAACTAACATGTGGAAGAAGGTGCTCTGGTCAGATGAAACCAAAACTAAACTTTCTGGCCTAAAAGCAAAATGCTATGTGTAGCGGAAAACTAACACTGCACACCATCCTCACCGTGAAACATGGTGGTGGCAGCATCATGTTGTGAAGATGCTCTTCTCTAGCAGTTACAAGGAAGCTGGTCAGAGTTGATGGGAAGATGGATGAAGCCAAATACAGGACAATTTTAAAAGAAAACCTGTTAGAGTCTGCAAAAGACCTGAGACTGGGGTGGAGGTTCACCTTCCATGAGGACAACGACCCTAAACATACAGCCAGAGCTACAATGGAATGGTTTAGATCAAAGCAAAGCATATTCATGTGTTAGAATGGCCCAGTCAAAGTCCAGACCTAAATCCAATGGAGAATCTGTGGCAGACAAAAACCTGCTGTTCACTGACGCTCTCCATCCAAACTGACAGAGCTTGAGCGATTATGCAAAGAACAATGGGCAGAAATGTCACTCTGTAGATGTGCAAAGCTGGTAGAGACATCCCCAAAAAGACTTGCAGCTGTAATTGTAGTGAAAGGTGGTTCTACAAAATAGACTCAGGGGGCTGAATACAAATGCACGCCACACTTTTCAGATATTTGTAAGAAATTTTGAAAACCATTTATCATTTTCCTTCCACTTCACAACTTTTTGCCACTTTATGTTGATCTATCACATCAAATACCAATAAAATACTTTTACGATTTTGGTTGTAACATGACAAAATGTGGAAAATTTCAAGGGGTATGAATACTTTTTTCAAGGCACTGATTTTGCACAGCCGGTCCGCACTGTGACAATAAAGCTACAGTACGCGGTTGGCAACTGGCTATATTGTGTATTTCATGGTGATTCAATCATGTCAGGATATTCCCTTTGGTTGTCCCTGGATGAAAATATGGTAACAGCTAGAGATGTACACGATGGAAACATCTGTTTCGTTTCAGATTCATTTGTTAAGGTAGTCATTCTGTCATATTTCTCTTTCTCCATCCAACCTAAACACAATAAGTAGGAGTCATCTTGTTTCACCTTTATATCTTCTGTAAAGATTTATCACAATATGTTTCCATTTTATATGTATTACATAGTGCATCTTTTATAACTCACGCTACGCTCACTTGAATAAAAACGAATGGATCTGAATCAGTCAGATCGTTTGTAATGTCATTATGTTATTCCAAAGGCTTCAATCAGTAAAAAAAGGGCCAAACTATCACATCACGTCATTCAAATGAAACAACTGAAATTAATTTGTTGTTTTGTTATAATTTAGTTTGGATTCGTTAATTTTACTACTGTGATTCAGAGATTCAACTCATAATGAAACAAAATCGCACATGTCTAGTAACAGTGGATGTGATTTTTGTACGTTGTGTCAGCCAGTTATTGTACGTACAAATGTGCAAACTCCACTATTCTTAGTAATGCCCGTTTGTCATACGGATCTAACGTCTCTACAATGCCTTCTAATCTGGTCACTAGAGAGGAGCTGAGTTTGGATATGAACTCAGTCCAAATCCAGATCTCCCAAACCAGTGGCAAGTTGTCACGTGATCGCATCCCTGCCATCCCAGTGAGCTGAGGGTGGGAGGTTCCCCAACCTGCACATAACAAAAAGGGCGGAGATACTTGAGACATCATTGACCTAATATGACCACATGACCATATTGGGACAATGTCTATGTCCTAACATGGCCATATTAGGCCAATGATTTAATCAGGCCCAGCAATTCAACTTATATTTGTGTACAAACCAAACCCAAGCTTATTCCTTGCTAGTCATGGAACAATATGCAAAAGTTCTAATTTCACTTTGACTTTGCTGAACTGGGTGCTTGGAGAATGAGAGAATCAAAGCCTGTGAAGTAGTAAAGCAGCCAAGAAATTCTCTCCAGGAGGAGCTAAGAAAGAGGGCTTCGCATTTCACTCAAGTTTCCTCAAAGAAGAACTGTTCTTATTATTCTTTGAAACTCGTCAGATTATTCCTTTCATGTCTAATGCAGTATATAAGGATGAAAGTTACTGGCTCCTATAGGTGATGTCAGTTCTTCCTTCAATCATGAGTCCAACAATCACAGAAATGGAGTCCAGGATATGAACCATCTCCTACCTTGCGATGTAATAGCTGCGTCTGTGGTCCTCCGTTCCCTTCGATCTCATAGCGTACACTGTTGAACAGGGCCACTCCATACTGCTCCTCATATATCTTCCCAAACTCTCCCAGGAGCTTCCTTGTATGCTCTGCAAAGAAAACACAACATAGGTGAAATTGTGAACAAGTGCCCATTTTCAAAACCAAGCAAACTTTTCTGTTTGACAACTCTAGATCATACAGATCATTTAACCAATACATGGCAGCTTGAAGAAGACATGAACCATTTTATTTCACCCATGGTTGCCTGAATACCCCATCAGTAATTGACTAATTCAGGTGGAAAATTCTCAGCTGAACAGTGACTACATTCTATCTATCAACTTTTGTCAAGCCTGGTGGTGCTGACCCAGCCAGCCATCCACAGCTCGAATTTCTACCAACTCAACAGGAATTGCTCAAGTTCCAAATGACAAGCATAAGAATGGTGGAACATATTGCACAGAGGTACACAAACTTCAGGCTTTGACCCTTAATGAGGTCCCTCTGCAGGACTCTCATATTAATTTCAGTGGGTTGTATGGGGTATGGAGTACGAGATTTTTTTTTGAAGATTTGGATTCCATTAAAATGACACACTGAAAATTTGCAGCCCCAAAGTGAAAAAATAAAAAATAATCTCTGATGGTAAAAGTAGAAGAAGGGTTAAAAGGCTGTATCTATATGTAGATGAGAAGGGGGCATCACTAATACTTACTATATGTCCGATGTGTCTCTAATTACAGCTTGCACTAAACTGATTACCCAGTGGATGTGAGAAGCCGGCAGTGATGTGTGAGAAGTAAAGCTCACAAAGGATTAGATTTTGTCTCATGTAAGCAGAAACCCGCTAATCCTGGGCGACTCAGACTATGGGCTATGCGCACTGCTGGCTGATGTCATCCGCATGATGGAAAGGACTACAGGTGTTCTGTCCCCTTCTCCCCTCCACAGCCAATCTACACTTTGCTGGTCATCACTAAGGTTTCCATGATAATAACTAAAACTATTCTGACTCATCACTTCCCATGTACAGCTGAAGGACTTCCAGGATTTTATTCACTTTTTTTACCAAGATGAATGTATCATATGTCAGAGCAGTTATGCAATTGCCTTTGGGAGCTGAAGTACACTAAAGCATTGTCACAGTGGGACTCTGGGAAGATATAAAAGACACAAAATAACGCAACTCTAATCATTATTACAGCCTCAAGTTAATTTTTAAATGCAAGAAGTGCAAGTACTTTACACTGGTGGTCAGGGGATAAATGCCCCTTACACCGGTGGTCATGGGATAAATGCCCCTTACACCAGTGGTCATGGGATAAATGCCCCTTACACTAGTGGTCATGGGATAAATGCCCCTTACACTAGTGGTCATGGGATAAATGCCCTCTTACGCTGGGGTCAGGGGATAAATGCCCCCTTACATTGGTGCCATTTCCACTGTGAACACCAACACCGACAGCTTTTGATCACATCCTCTGCCTGCAGATCAATCTGCTTAGGAGTACCTTTGCGTCCATTTAACATTCTGCCATTTCCTGATGAAGAGGGTTTCTGTGACCCCCCAAATGCATTAGCTCTCTATTGCCCTGGTTGTAACCAGCTGAATAAATACTTTGGACTTTCTTTTGGCACCCTTTATTTATTACACTTGGATTTCTCAACTTCTGAATGTCCTCTCCTGGGAGGTCCCAGTCTTTGTGGTTACCTGCTGAATACAGGTCAGTTAGGCTTAAGTGATATTAAAAGGCAAAATAAATAACAAAATAGTGGTTTTGCACAGAGCAGCCAAAATCCTCTTCTCAGGTTCCCTGCCGGCTCTAGTGGCTCATCCCTCCTGCCGAGTGTCCCCAGAGCAAGCAGCTTGCTATGGGAGCATCCGAGCAGGCTCACTCCTGAGCCACTGCTCTGCGTGTCCATTCACACACACACAGAGCTGTGGCTTGGCCTCACCCCCTCTCTCTCCTCATTGGCTCACTGGCTGTGATGGTTCCCATTGCAGTCTCAGCCAATGAGGAGAACGAGCCCCCAGAGAGCTGAAGCTCTGATGCACATTGCTGGATCATGAATGGATGACAGTTAAGAATCCTTGAGCCTTTACAACCACTTTAAGTAATGACTGTGTGCACATTTTGAAAACCTGTGAGAAGTCATGTCTGGTGCCCCTCTACCACTACCTCTTGGACCCTTACATTGATGATCAGTGGAGAAATGCCTCCATATATTGGTAGCCAGTGGAAAAGTCCCCTTGCACTAGTGGTCAGTGTATGTGACTTCTTATAATGAATATCATTGAGATTTTGCCCTCTTTCATTGGTAGTCACTGTAGGTGCAAGATCAATCTATCATTACTCAAGGAACCCCTTGAAACATCTGGGCATCCCTAGGTGGCAGATAAGCACTGACATAGCATATTTCAGTTTTCACTTTATCCAGTGACACCATGGAAGCTAGCAGTCAGCACTTCATCGTTGGGGGACAAATAGAAATATACACAGATGAAATGATTTTCCCACCATTGTTTTATTTCCAAAACCTCCACAGCTAAATGTCAAACAGTCCCTGGCAGAAAACACTCACATTCCACTGGTGCCACTCCATGTAAATATTGATAACTAGGCCTTTCCTCAACAGGCCTCCAAAATGCAGTCCAGTCAAAGACCCCTTAAAGGGCAAGCCCTATAAACAAGTAATGAAAAGTTGAGAACTATTCCTACCTGTACTCCATATTCACCAGCAATCACTGCAGGTGTGCTAAAGTCAGGAAGGCCACCCTGTAACCTGCTTCAGCTTTGATTCTGCAAACTCTAAACTAACTGCGTGTTATATCTCACATGTGCAATGTGAGATATAACAAAGAACAGGTAAGGTATACATGGCATGCACAGATGGACAGCCCATTGGCTGCTCTTCTGCCACTATAACAGATGACTGGCAACAATGTTATTCTAATCCATTTTATATAGGAGTAAGTAGGCCTAAGCTACCATACACACAAGCATAATGAGCGACCTCTAACAGTCTCCTCCATCCACACTAAACAGCGCGGATGGAAGAACTTTCCGTTCCCACTATTATTTTCTGACAGCGGACACTTACAGCTGTCAGAAAACCTGAACAGTGACTACATCTGATCAGAAGCAGTCACTGTTCAGCCAACAACTTTCCACCTGGCTCCATTAACAATTCTAATGAAAAGTTGATTTTTGTCACATGGATTGTTGCATAGAGGGCTATCTAGTACTCAAATTTCAGCCAATTAATCAGAAATCAGGCAAAATTAGAGCAGTCTATGGCAATCTTAAAATGACACTATAGCTCTTTTTTTTTCTAAAATAACAGACATGTCTATAATTACGTGCTCTGTGCAGTGATTTTGCCCAGAGCAGCCCCGGTCCTCTTCTTTTCAGGTCCCCTGCTGCGTTCTTTGTTCCTCCTCCTTCTCAAACAGTGCCCCCAGGTAAAGCCGCTGGCCCTGGGGGTACCTCTGCGTGCTTGTCCTGGAGCTGCTGCTCTATGGACATAAGACAGAGCTGTGGTTCAGCCACACACCCCCTTTCCTCATTGGCTCACTGGCTGTGTTTAACAGCAGCGGGAGCCAATGGGCTGTCATTGCGGTCTCAGCCAATGAGGAGGAAGAGTCCCCAGACAGCAGAGGCTGTCGAGATCATCGCTGGATCAGAGGGGACTCAGGCAAGGATTTAAGGGAGGGTCGCTGCACATAGGTTTTTTTACCTTCATGCATAGAAAGCATGAAGGTAAAAAACCTTGAGCCTTTAGAACCACTTTAAAGTGTTACTAAACCCAGGACCCTGCATTCACTATATACGGTCTCCCACAGTACACAGAGCATTGAAGTGCAATTATTTTAGTAAATATAAACTGCTAAATACCGTTTCTCATCAGCAGTTAGAGCAGTCTTGTGACTTCTATCAGTGTCCAGCTGAGCAAGGGTTAAAGTTTGTAGGAGGAGTTTTCATTCTTCTATGACTGCCTTATGAGGCTGCATAACCTCTAACCCTCTGTCTGGACAGTGCTGATTTGTCCTGTGTAGATCACATGCACTCTCGCAATACACACCAAACTGAGCATGCACAGAGTCACTGCAAGGACACTTATCAGGAGACTAGTTGGGGACACTGGAAGAAGGGGAGGATCAGAGAAGACAGGATCAAACAGCCTTTTTACACAATGCAGAGGATTAACCCCTTAGTTTCCACAGTGAGTATAACAAGTATGCTGTACTGCATCTACAGACTGATTTTACTGTTATGGGTTTAGTAACACTTTAAGGCATTCAATGGCTGAGAACATCTGCTTAGAAGAGCCAGCACAAATGTAGGTATCAGACACTCTACCTGTTCATCACCCCAGGCATTCACACCTTTATTCTTGTTGACAAATATTTACGTTCATTGTGACAGATTCCTGAACTGTACAATCTGTCACTGAACATCTATGCTATAGTGCTGTGTAACAAGCTTTGCTCGTCACACCCTCATTTTTTTTTTTACTCATACCCTTATTACTGGGCCAAGTAATGATACAAAGCAAATATTTTAAACTTGAGCCAGAAAATTCCCTTTGGAAATTAAAGAGTGAATCCAGCTGGTTTCTGAAAAAAACCATCAGACAATGGTGTAACTAAAACCCATAATCTCTTGATATGTATATATACAGTGCATTCATAAAGTATTCAGACCCCTTCACTTTTTTCTATTTTTGTTATGTTGCGGCCTTATACTACAGTTGTTAAAATTAAATTTTTTCTCAATCTACACTCAATACCCAATAATGAGAAAGTAAAAACAGAATTAAGGAAAGGTCTCTACATTTATTTAAAAAAACAAAAACTGGAATATCACATTGGCATAAGTATTCAGACCCTTTACTCAGTACTTTGTTGAAGCACCGTTGGCAGCAATTAAAGCCTCCAGTCTTTTCGGGTACGTCGTGACAAACTTTGCACACCTGGATTGGGGGATTTTCTGCCATTCTTCTTTGCAAATCCTCTCAAGATCAGTCAGGTTGGCTTGGGACCATCGGCGGACAGCCATTTTCAGGTCTTTCCAGAGATGTCTAATAGGGTTCAAGTCAGGGCCACTCTAGGACATTTACAGAGTTGTCCCAAAGTCACTTCTCTGTTGTCTTCTGTGTGCTTAAGATCGTTGTCATGTTGGAAGGTGAACCTTCAGCCCAGTCTGAGGTCTTGAGTGCCGTGGAACAGATTTTCATCGAGGATATCTCCGTACTGCTCCAGTCAGCTTTCTCTCAACCCTGACAAATCTCCCAGTACCTGCTGCTGAAAAACACCCCTATAGCATGATGCTGCCACTACCATGCTTCACTTTTGGGATGGTATTGGGCAGGTGATGAGCAGTTCCTGGTTTCCTTCAGACATAACGTTCAGAACTGAAGCCAAACAGTACAATCTTGGTTTCATCAGACCAGGGAATCTTGTTCCTCAGAGTCCTTCAGGTGCTTTTTTGCAAGCTTCAAATGGTCTCATGTGTTTTGCACTGAGGAGAGGCTTCTGTCGAGCCACTCTGCCATAAAGCCCAGATCAGTGGAGGGCTGCAGTGATGGTTGGCCTTCTGGAACATTGTCCCATCTCCACACAGTATCCCTAGAGCTCAGACAGTGACCATCAAGTTCTTGGTTAACTCTCTTACTAAGGCCCTTCTCCCCCAATTGCTCAGTTTGGCCGAGCGACCAGCTCTTGGAAGAGTCCTAGTTGTGCCAAATTTTTTTTTTGTAGCCTACCCTAGATCTGTGCCTTGCAATAATCCTGTCTCCGAGCTGTGCAAGCAGTTTTGTTACCTCATGTCTTTTGCTCTGATACAGTATGCTTTGTCAGCCTTTTATAGAGAGATGTGTGTCTTTCCAAATCACGTCCAATCAATTTAACTTACCACAATTGGACTCCAATCAAGATGTAGAAACATCTCAGCAATGACCAAGAGAAATGGGAGGCACCTAAGCTAAATTTCAAGTGTTGTTGTAAAGGGTCTGAATACTTATGCTAATGTGATATTTCAGGCTTTTTTTCATTTTGATAAATTCAGACATTTCTAAAATTGCATTTTCACTTTGTTATTATGGGATACGGAGTGCAGATTAATGAGAAAAAAAAATACACTTTTTTCAATGTTATCTTTCAGCCCGATACTACAGTTGTTTAAATTCATTTTTATATATACCTAATTATGTATGAAATTCTCATCCATTCTATTGGCCAGCTTTTTGCCTGACATATAACCAATTCCTCGGCTTTATCCATAGAATTTTCTTTGCAAGTTATAAGAGGTAGGTCACCAAGTCTCTTCTCAACCATTCTCAATTACTTGGGCTTTGCAATGGCATTCAGATTGTACCAGCACATGTGCATAGCCATATGTACACACATACTAGGGCCAATTTAGACAGGAGCTAGTTAACCTACCAGCATGCAGTATTTGACTCTCAGGTATATTCTCTGGGTACCATGTCTGAAAAGCTTGATGACCTTTTCAATATAATTTTCTTGGCAAATTTTTACAAGGTAGGTCACCAGGTCTTTCCTCAACATTCCCCAATTACTCAGACTTCGGACCAGCATTAAGAATATGATAGCACACTTGCATAGCCAGTTTGTACACACATAACAGGGCTAATGTAGACAGGAGTCAATTTACCCATCAGCATGTCTTTGGAGTGTGTGAAGAAACTGGAGCACCCAGAGGAAACCCACACAGGCACAGAGAGAACATGCAAACTCCATACAAAATCCCTTAGTACAAAAGTCAAACTGAGGCCATTTCATGCGCAATCATGTCTGACTATACTGTTTAACAATGATTTTTATTCCTTTTTTTACTAATCAAAAGAACCAGACAACAGATAGCAGAAGACAAAGGGATATGTTTGCACATATCAAACTGAGAAGCTCAATTCAGGGACTACCAAGAAAGAACAGGCATTGGAACAGGTATAAAAGCCTGATCCAATGACTATTGAATGCTTGGCAGAGCCACCCTCACTAAAAACATATTGAAGACAGATACCCACACACCCATCAAACTTCTAAAGTCCATGACCAGCTTTATTCCCAGAATGTTATATATGGACACAACCTGTAAATGAATGGTGCAGAGTCAAGTATGAGCTCTCTGACCTAATGGTCCTTTCTCTTACATGTTTTTCCCCCACTTCATCATCCCATACTGCACCCATACACTGCTGGGGGTCCACGTTGTCACCCAGTGTGGGTATGTCTTCCAGCTACTTTTTTTTTTTTTAAATGCCTTCTCACCCAACTTCTAAATATACCCAGATTTATTTATTTTCAAGTCACTATAATGAAGTGCAAGCTCCCTCCAAGTAACCTACTCTGTGCGTCATTTCTATAAATACAGTCTGAGGAGTATTAAAATACATGGTTTTATAATTATTCATGTACGAATACCATCCACCACCCTGTTATGTTTCTGATAAGTAACAACTTAGTATTAAAAACTTATCTAGGGAACAGTCTTGGGATTCAATGTACCATGACTCACTAGAACATAGTACAAATAACCCAGCCATGACTCACATCTACTCAATTTTTCATCTAAAGACACTGCTATGCATATAGTATATCTGGGAACATTTTAGAAGAATTTTCAGTGTCTTTTTACCGATTTGGCATAACTTCATTGCATACAGTTTATAAGCACCACAGAACATTATAAATGTCTGCTTGTTTTATTGGGTAATATTCTGTTACATTTAAAACTCTAATTTTCAATTAAAAGATAAAAAGCAGCATTTGCTGCCATACTCCTCAATCTAGGGCTGTCCCCCACATTACTTCACTTCGGCACTAGATGTCCTTGGTCTTCGGGTTGAATGACAGTCAGCATCATTCAATCCATTTTTTTTTCTGGGTGCACATAGTCATAATCCTGACTTAAGCCTATGACTTTGCAGGGAAGTTAATGAATAAAGAGCTAAAATAATTTGTGTCTTTCATGTAAGCTTATAGTTTAGCTTTAAAATGTTAATATTTCTACTACTGTTATTGAAAAGCCAAAATGCAAATTTAGGTTTTCACTTTCCGCAGACAATCAGATAAACAAGTATGGATTTGCTTAGACACTAGTAGTGTATCTGGTAATTCTATATTTCTCTCTCCATTACACCACCTTCAAGACCTAGAAGAGTCAGCACTTAAAACTGTATGACACATGCGAATTGCTATGGGGCCACACCCCAGGAATCGCTGGCCTGATCTCTAACAAACATTCACATACTCACATGTGTTTCTGTTTAAAGGACAGGAGCAATAAGAGAAAAGATGTTCTGTACAGAAGTTCCTATAGACTTACCAGTATGTTCACCCAACCCAGTTTGTTATGGCTAAATCAAACAATCTTATGTCTGTGGATTCTCTCTAGTATCTCCTGGCCAGTCATTTTTGGATCAGATTCTTCCAGCCAAATACTACTGTCTAATCACCCTGAGATGAGCTTGAACTCTGATCGTCGGCAATGGACCCCTGTGCAAGCACATGTCAAAGTGACTGCAGGAATGAGACCCAACACCTGCCCATCCTACATCTTATGTAAAAGGGCCCCTAAATTCCAGAGTGCTCTTGTGCTTCTGTGCAAGCACAGGTTAAAATGACAGCATGAACAGGATACAACACCTACCTAATTCACCTCCAATGTATATAGGCCCCTAAATTCTAGAGGGCCTTTTTGCTCGTATGTGAACACAGGCCAAAAAAGTGACAGCAGAAAAGGGACCCAACACCTGCCTGACCCACATCTATGGTAAATGGGCCCCTAATGTCTAAAAGTTCCTCGTGCACCTATCTGAGATCAAAAGCACAGGTCAGAAGTGACAGCAAGAAGGGGACCAATACCTGCCTGACCCACATCTTCTGTAAATGGGACACTAGATTCCAGAGGTCCCTTGTGCTCCTGTGTGAGCACAGGTCAAAGTGACATCAGGAAAGGGATCCAACGATTGCCCAATCCACAGCTTATGTAAATGGTCTCCTAAACTGCAGATAGCCTTTGTGCTTCTATGCAAGCAGAGATCAAAGAAACAGCAACAAATGAGACTCCACAGCTGCCCGACTCACATCTTTTGTAAATGGACACTAGATTCCAGAGGGCCACAGCAACACCAAGAAAGAAGACTCGAAACCCACCCCACCTACATCTTATAATTGGGCTCTTACATTGCAGAGGGCCCTGGTGCTCCTGCATTGCCTGCACAAATGCTAGTATGCCAGTCCCAGCCTTGGGTGATCC